TTTCAAGATGTACAAATCAATACAATTCACACAATAATAATAAACCCATAATTAAATTCTTTGTACCTCAACTCCACCACTTCGGCCCTCCACTTCCGGCCTACACGTATATCCCATGTGCCTCCTGTATACCTAACACTGCTCCGAAGCTAAACTTGCACGGGGATATCGTCCCGAGTTTGACCTACACTCCCCGGATGGTTAGCATATACGTACGTGCGTAAATCAAAGCACTCATCTATTCATGAGAACGAGGCAACAATATATATATATACAAAACATCTCACTCATGAGAACAAACATAACAATGCCAAGCCAAAGGCATTCAAATAAATCTCATAATCCTTACCTTTTTTTTTATGCACTCTTTCTCACCAACACTCAAATAAAACAACAATCCATGGAGTCATGGTGAACTATAAGGAATTTATTTATGGGTTCTAAATTTATTTTAATTTCATATATCCATGAGTGTGATTACAACCATAAAATAAATCCATATAAAAACCCTAAACATGGCATACATAACTAATCAAAATAATTAAAATCAATACATCATCAAAAAACCCTAAACCTTACATACACAACTAATCAAAATAATTAAAATCAATCAATTATCTAAAATCCTAAACCTTACATACACAACTAATCAAAATAATTAAAATCAATTAATCATCTACATGCAAATACGAAATCAATTCAACATCATATAAATATAAATAAATAAAAACAAGAAATTAAATATAAATCAAGGGAAGTGGGTTTTGCACTCACAATATTTTTTTGAAGATCAAAGAATTATTTGAAGAACTAATGGAGCCACCAAAACAAAACCTTAATATTTTTTTCTTCTCTTTTCACTCCCGCCGTCTCTATGTCTCCTATTTTTCTTTTCTTCTATATTAATAAAACACCTTTTTTACATATAAAAAAATATAAATATATAAGTATTCAGATTAATTATATAACAAACACATTAAATTAATTAAATACCACATTAAAGTATCATATAACCACACAATTAATAAAATCAAAAATAAAATAAGATAATAATAATAATAAATAAATAAAGGTTTACGAAAAATCAGGGTCGCTACAAAGAGTGTATTTTAGAGAGAGAGCGTCTCACTTTAGGGTTTTTGGAAGAAAAGATCTGAAAAAGTAATGTAAAAAGTCATTTTCGCGATCTGAAATACGCATAGTCCGCTCGAGCACAAGAGTTGATGCTCAAGCGTCAGATACAATAAGTTGTTCCGCTCGAGCGCAGAATACACACATCTAGTACTTTTGCAGGCAACAGCGCTTGAGCGGCCCCTCGAGCGCCCACCCGCTTGAGCTTAGGAAACATCGCTCAAGCATAGAAAACATCCCTCCAGTACTTTTGCAGACATGCAAAATACGGAGAGTTTTCAAATCCAGCTTGAGGGCAAGAAAGGCCGCTTGAGTAGAGGACCAAAATTCTGCGCAACATAAGGTTTGAAAACCAAGCAACCAACCTGTTCCAAGCACACTAAACACATCTAAATAACCAAATTTAAGAAGGAATAAAGAGTAAAGGACAATGAACGACATACAGAAACCATAAACCCGAGTCCGGACTACTATAAGTGTCGGGTCAAAACTGGGATCGTTATATGGCTCATATAATTGAAAATTAATAGCAACATAAAAATAAATATTCAATAATAATATTCAACTATAAACTCATTTTGATTATGGCAACCTCAACCATGTTTAGGAACATAACACTCATATTTGGGACATTTATGTTCTATGCTGCACAAAATAATTGTAAAAATATATATATTTTATCATCTCTCAATTTTTGAATAAGATTTTTAGTTGGTCTATTTAGAGAAGTAGATTAAAAGTCAACTTTTTGTTAGAAAATAATAATTTTTCGGCAACTCTAATTCGAAATTAAAGTGGAACCCAACCGTCAGTTAAGGTGGGTCTGAGTGGTTTTGTATTCTCTTAAGTGAAAAGATTGCAATACAAAAGTAATGAGCCGAAACCATTGGGTTTTAAATGAGAATTGTCTCATAAAGTGAGTATCAATAAAGTTGGGTTTAGGTTTGGACTTAGTCTTAGTTGGACTAAGCCTAAACTTGTACTTGTGCATGTGTTGGGTTTGGTCTTAGATTTGGAGTTAGACCTAATCTTGAGCTTTGGGCTGAGCTATGCTATGCTTAGTTTGTGCATGGGCTTGAAATTGGGCTTGGATCGGGTTGTGACCCAACACACGTATCCATTTTACAACCCATCTAGTTTAACTCTCAAAACTTATGCATATTATGATTTATATAAGGCATTTTTGGTGGAACCCCCCTTTTGGGCCTTTTTATTAGGGTAAAGGATAACCCAATTAATTTTCTTTCAAAAAGTCCCTGAGTAAGAAATGCTTACCTTAATAAGGACATTTTATAATTTTTATTTTTTTTTATCACAATATTGCCCTTATATATATAGTATCATACATATGAAAAATTTGAAATATGAGCTCGTAGCCAATGAAGACGATGAAGACGATCTCCAAATCGATCATACTTCACAAAATCGATGAAGACGATCTCCAAATCTGAAGATCTCGCAACCGTTACATTCCTCATTCAATATTTTGAGAATATATGTATATATATATATATATATATTTGTGTGTATGAGTGTTGTTGAACATATGTATTCTTTTCATTGAGATTTGTGATTGTTGATCGAGTTTCAGAAGTTTTTCTTCTCAATTAGATATGTTGATTTGTTGATTAATTTGTGTTATTTTTGTTTGTTTTGTTTTTGATTTATTTTTGTTCGTTTTTTTATCAAATTTCATTTGATAGAACCAGAGTAAAATTTTACTCTGGTTCTATTGTTCTATTTTTTCATTTGACAGAACCAGAGTAAAATTTTACTTTTATACAGAGTAAAATTTTACTTTTGTGTAGAGTAACATTTTACTAGTTTTTCAGAGTAAAATTTTACTTTTATACAAAGTAAAATTTTAATTTTAGTTTCAGAGTGTAAAATTTTACTTTTATACAGAGTAAAATTTTACTTTCATACAGAGTAAATTCATACAGAGTAAAATTTTACTTTTAGCTTCAAAGTCTCACAGTTTACTCATTTTTCAGAGTAAAATTTTACTTTTAGTTTCAGAGTGTAAAATTTTACTTTTATATAGAGTAAAATTTTACTTTCATACAGAGTAAAATTTTACTTTTATACAGAGTAAAATTTTATGAGGGTAATATGGTAAAAGAAACAAGTTTTAAAATATTAGGGGGTTTTGAAAGTACTTATATAATTCTTGTCATTTTGAAAGACAAATTAGATAGTGAGGGGGCTATCACCAAATCCCCCCTTATATAATAGTTTTGGAGTTTTGAACATTTGTAACTCTAGCCCTAATGGCTAGAGTTGATGACATTTAATGACCCCATTGATATTAGCCTTTATGGCTAAGGCTCTCCCCTACTAGTATAAATAGAGGTATTTCTTCTCCAACTTAGTAAGTTGTTTTTAGAAAGGTTTTGTGATGGAAAATGAGATGATATTTTGAAATAAAAAGTTGGAGATAGTTTTTTAAACCAAAGAAAATTTTTCCATCTTCTTTTGTTAGCCTCTTTTTTGTTTTTGTTAGAGAGAGTGCATCCATTGTCAAGTTCGCCGACATAATGCAGAAGGTGCTTCTGTATTAGTTGGTTTCGACCACCGTATCCTAAGAGACAAACGCTGGCATACCTCCAGCATCCATCGGAAGACGGTGAATCTCTTTTAAGGAAATTATCCAGTGCAGGCTTCGATTTGCTTCTTTTCTTATTATTTGTTCTTAAATTTTTCAATATTTAGTTATCCATGCTAATAATTTGCTCTATTAGTAATGTAATCTAATTCATTTATGTATTTTTAGTTATATTGTTTATTCTGTATTTCATACTTTTAATAAAAAAAAATATTTTGTCATTTCTATTTAATTTATTTTATAAATATATTTTTTGTATTATTACGAAAAAATACCAACTATTTTTTACTCCTTTTGGTTTTTTTTCTGAAAAAATGTACAAAAAAATTAAAAAAAAAGGTAATCAGTGTGTTTGGTTTGAGTTTTCTGAATTCAGTTTTTTGAAAACTGAATTTTTTATTTTTCGTGTTTTTTTGTTTTTTTGTAAATATTTTTAAAATTTTAAGCATTTTTTTTTTTACTTTTTTAAATGTACCTTATTTAGATGTATCTAAAAAGTAAAATATTTCAAAAAATTAATAAATACACAAAAATATGAAAAATATACTAATTTTTTTGTATTTTTGGTATTTAGTGAATTTGTTAAAGATTTTTTTCATGAAAATTATATTTTTTGAAGTGTATTTATGTTAGGTGCGTTTAAAAATTAAAAAAATTATTTAAAATATTAAAAAAATTCAATACAAAAATACGAAAAAGAAAAAAGTAGAATATTTTGAAAAGTATTTATAGAAAACTCAAACCGAACAAATTGTGTAACTCAAAAAAATAAAAAAGTTAAACACTAACTTTTAATCAAAATTCCAAAATTGGCCATTAATGAAATCAGACAAATATCTTCTATCACTCGTAATGCTTCAAGTTTTTGTAGACAACTTGTAGGCAATGTGATAAAGCAGCAAGTAAGTCAATGCCAGTACCACAAACACCCTCAAATTTCTAAAAAAAACTTCTCCCCTGCAATGTCAAAAAAAATAATAAATAATAAATAAAAATTAAATTAAATAAATTCTTACCAAGAAGTCAAAAGTTTCAAATGTGCTTCAGCTTGGTAACATAAATAACAATGTTAGAGGGCCACAATTTTTGTGACCATAATGGCTTAAAATTGTCAAAACGACGTCGTTTTGGTATGTTTTGCACCCAAAACGACGTCGTTTTGACAGTTTTGAACTATTGTGGCCACAAAAATTGTGGCCCTCAAACATTTTCCGCAGTAATTCTAGAAATTATTCAAAACACTAGTCCAGTCATTTTTGCTTAAAAACCCTATTCTCTTTGTAGCATTTTTCTTCGCTCACCATACACATGTGCTCACCATACACATGTGCACACATGTATAGATTGTTCTGGAAATGTGTTGGTTGTGATTTGTGTTGATTTTATGGGTTTAGTTCCTAAAATGTTGATTCCGTTGTTGGTTATTCTTTTGTGTATTCGTCAATTTCTTTTGATTGAAATGCTGTATTTGTGAGATGGGTTCAATTGATTTCATCCCCTGGCTTCTGGGTTTCTTTTACTCTACAGCAGTTAGAAGGGGAAAATTAGTACGAGGCTGTGGATTCTGATTACTGGGTCTTTTATTTATTTATTATTAATTTTATGTTTGATTTCCTTGTATTATTTTTTATCACAGAGTTGAAAATTTGTCTAAACATAGATTGTGATCCTATTCCTCTTAATTCATAAGTCTCTCTCTCTCTCTCTCTCTCTCTCTCTCTCTCTCAATTACTATGCAAATGCCTTTGACCTGCATTAGATGTTTGTGGAGGTACCCATCAGAACTATTCCTTCTTCTAATCTTTTATACTGACCAGATGTAATGCCCCACTATTTCTTGTAACCCCTTGTAAACTATGTTGGATGTTACTATAATGCAGCAATACTATAGTTTATGTCATGGATTTAGCGCATTCCTTAAATTTCTTCCGCATTCATTTTTTATTAAACTTCAATTTTTTGTTCCCTTGGAAATTAAATTATAACTGACGTTTAGATTTAACACTTTAACTACTTCCAAAATGGAAGCAGCGAAATGTGGGACTGGCATGGAGAGGGTTATTGTCTCCAGAAGGAAACCAATCTGGGTGAGCCTTGCTTTGCTTTTCGCTTTAATGTTAAGTCAAGATATTTGGGTAAAGTTTTGATGTGGAACGGGTTTATTGTTGTGAGCAGACATATCTCCATGCCTTTGGGATGGAGTAAGCCAGAATGAAGAAGATCTGTCCTACATGTTTGACGAAACAACACCTGTTAAGGCCTGTGGGGATTTGGCTTACCATGTTGCTGACAATGGTAGTTTTATACTTTACTAAAATGTTTCGACATTTGCTAGCTTTTAATGCTTGTTTGGGTGGTGGTGGTGAGAGTGGTGTGAGATGGGTGAGTTTAGGAGTGGGAATGGGGTGAGGGACCTTAGATTACAAAAGAACAGATTGTGGACCTAATCTATTACTAAAAGTTAGATAGGGACTTTAGACCGATTTTCCCTTCAAATAAATATTGTATTTTTTCATCACTACAAATATTCGGGGGAAATATTTTGGTTACTAATTTCGTCGCTATATAATTGTCACTAAAAGCCTCCGTAAAGAAAATGCATTTCGTCAACAATTCAGTAACCTTAGGGTCCAAATTTTTCATCACCCATTTGAGAGCATTTTATCACAAAAAACCTTATATTTCGTCACTAAAGACAAATCCAGTATTATATATATAGAATTTTGAGTAAATTATACGAATAATCCTTGTAATTTATATGATATGTCAATTTGGTCTCTAATATTTTAATTTACTCAATTTTGCTCTTTAATTTAACAAATTATGTCAATTTAGTCCAATAAATAATGGCTGTTAAGTTTGGTGGACGGAAAGTCAAACTAGGTGTCAATTTGATCCATGTAGTTTACACAATGTGTCAATTTGCTCCCTGTCAAAATCGAGCAAATTAAAATAACAGGGACCAAATTGACATAGTGTGTAAATTATAGGGACCAAATTGATACACTGTGTAGATTTTCCGTTCACTAATCTTAACAACCGTTATTTATTAGACTAAAATGACACAATTTGTTAAATTAAAGGACAAAATCGAGCAAATTGAAATAATAGGGATCAAATTGATACATCGTGTAAACTACATGGACCATTTGCATAATTTACCCTAGAATTTTTGTGACCCAAAAAAAAAAAAAAATTGTCACAAATTTTGGTCACTGGCGAGGAAATATATTGTCTCGATAAGTTGTATATGTGATGAAATATTTCATCACACAAAAAATAAAAAAAAGTTATTGTTGCAAGGAATACACATTTCATCACAGTAAAAAAAGTATAGGTAATGAAACATTTTGTCAGAAAACATGTTTTTGTTTATATGGGCAAATTTTATTTTATTGAGTTATGTAAGATTTACTCCCTTAATGTTTGAAAATGATCACATAATTCTCACGTGGTTTTGTGGATTAAAATGCACCGTTAAACTTTTCGTCTAATTTAACAATAAATGTGAAATGCGTGATAGATATAAAAAGGTTATATGTTTATTTTCAAATTTCAAGGGGACAAATCGCGTAGAAAATAAAGTACAGGAGTTAAAGTGCACTTTGCCTTCCAAATAAATGGCGAAACTATCCATAATTTACACACTTAAGTTACTTATATATTGGGATATTTTAATTTTTTTTTATTAAATCGTTAACGGGCCTAACGATACATTTCAATCCACAAGCCACAAGAAAATTGTTGTAATGATCTAGAAATTTTTTATTTATTTATTTTAAATAGCCCGTGCATAATTTAATTGAGCGAATTTTTGAATTTAATTGCTGTGTAAATTCTGTGCAAAAATAGTTTGGTTTTTTATTTTTTAAAAATAGTTCATGATTTCAGAAAATTATGCAATTTTTATATGTTGTTCCCATATGAGTCTAGCACGTTGGATAAAACTTTCAGAATTAAATGATAAGTATTTATTTTATGAAAATTCACGGACTGATTGATGTTCAGTTTAATTTATAGCAGAATTTTGTTATTTTATTTTGAATGTTTATATCATGATTTGGATAACTTTGTTGGATCTATTTTGGTATATAATTGGACCATGTTTGGCTTATGGGTGAAACCCATGACTTAGATTTAATTTAATTTGAGTTTGTTTAGTGATTGATGTTTAACTGTTTGGTTCTTTTAATTATGTGATTGGTAGTAACCACTTTGGGAGTTGTTATTTATTATATAGGAATTATAATAAATATTTAATAATTGATTTTATGGTGTGTATTATATGGCGAAAAATTATATATTTTGTAAAGAATGAAAATGTGTATATTTCGTAATGATCAAAATATTATATTTTGTGGTGTGAAAAAATTATATCATTTTATAATTTATATTATAAAATTTTGAAGTATTATTACAAAAATTATATTTTTTTAAAAAAATCAAATTTTAGAAAACAAACCCATGTGAGTGGCCTCTATTTTTGTCTTCTTACCATCATTTCTTCTTCATTTACAATTCATTTCATTTTGGTGCGTGGAGCAGAGAGCTCCTGCTCTCCCTCTTTGTTCGTCTCTCTCTTGGTCTCTCTCTCTGTGCAAGGAACATAGCATTAATCATTTAAAATTATTTTTTCTTTAAAAGTGAGTCTAGGATCTTACCTAGCCAATCAAAACCAATGGCATGATAGTCCTTGGAGAGTACAGGAAGAACTTTGCGATAAGAATATTCCTGCAACATAAGGAATGGAATATATTAGTGAATTGAGAATTTAATCTACGTACACTGTTAAAACAACAATAACTTCCAATCCGTCACAATGTTTTATAGGTTAACATTGCAATGGACAGCAACAAGTTGTTGCTATTAACTCTCTGGAATTACCTGTATGATAAAGGGAAGTTACCCATCAAGAATCAAGAAATTAGTCTAGAGAAACTAATAAGTTTGTCTGAATGGATAAGCACAATATGCAATTGCAAACAACAAAAGTAATCATGATACTCGCTCACATTATGATGATAAATTTGAAATTCAAAGTACAATGAAAGTCGGAAGTAATTCAGAGTTCATTTATCTAACTGGAAAAGCAACATGACCAAAACAAGGTTAAGATCAAAGCCAGTAAAATTTGAGGGAAAATAAAGGAAGTTGTTGCAATTTGAGAAAGTAAGGCATATTTTTTTTGGAATTTTTATTTCTTATTTTTTCGTAGTTTTCTTTCCTAATTGGTGAAATGAGTTGCTGAGGCAGTGGGTGAAATAACAATGGTTACAATAACAATAATCTATAAGTTTTTGCATTAGAATCTTCTACCAATAGAATGTGGGTCATGAGTATTAAAAAGACAAATGCACACAAGCATGCCCACAGAAACACACTCACAGGTCAATTGGATAATTGAAACCATCTCTAGTTTGGCATTGAGATGATGGGTGGTCACTGGTCATGAGAGGAGTTCCAAATTCCAATGGTTCAAGGAGGACCCATGTTTGACTCCAATAAATTATTTGATGTTCAAAGCTTGTCATTCTTCTAATATACAAAATCAAATGGTTATATGGCATATATGACTAGAAAAGTAGATGTGTTTGATTTCATAAGCCGTCCCATCTTATTGGACAAAGTGCCGTTATAATTCGAGCCAGGGTCTGTAAGGACCTTCAAACCTGAGTTCCATTCAATGAAAAGGCATAGTAGTTTGACATAGTTATGGTATAACATAGATATTGTCACCCAAAACCAGCAATACAATATGCATTGCAACATAGATAACTGCATAATCAAATTATTAGCAAGAATGAGATAATCTATGAAGACAAATCATAGCATCGGACAATGCAATGCTATATGGTAGAAGCAACCAACTAGACAATGGGGCATATTCAGATAAGACAGATCTTCACTTTGTCATTAGGTTTGATCAAGATATATGACTGAAACATATTGTGTGTGCCAAATCTCCCTAACCTTTGATTGGATTTGCAGAAAAGCTATGGGGTCACATGCATTTAATTTTACATCTGAAGAATACATTGCTCATTTTTTATTCACAGATATAAACAGCAACAAAGCTAAGTAACAATACAATTGTTCGTACATAAAAGTTCTTCTCTTTTTGCATCCAGATGTATGGGTGCAATAAGAAGGGAGGGCTTGGCGTCATTTTCAGGACATAGAATCTTCTTTGTCCAAAAGAAGAAGTGCTTCAGCAGCTGCCAGTAGATTATGGGATAAGATAAATGCATTTTCTAATTCATTGCATCTTGTTGCTTTGTTTTCCACATTTTTTTCTTGGTTTTCTTTTTAAAAAGAAAAGACAAAAAGAAAACCTTTCCTAACAAAATCACTGCATTTGGTTCCTTAATCAGTATTTAACAATAAGTTATTGCAATCATCTTGCACATACTTTATCTTTCAGGTGCACTGGCATCTTTCACATAGGTTGAGCGCAAGAAAATTAGAAATCATTATAACACTGTAGCAATCATGATAAGTTCAAAATTTAGGTGTCGTTTGGGAAGTGGGTTGGCTTTTTGGCTTTTTGGCTATTTTAGCCTGGGGCTAAAAAGTCTGGTTTGGAAAGGGCTTTTGGCTTTTTTGACTTTTTTGTGAGAGAAAGAATGTAATGATTACGGGTTGGATGTGATGTTTTGCCTTATTGGACTAAAAAGCCTATTTTGTTTTTGGTGGCTAAAATAGCCAAAAAAGCCTCAACCAAGCCTATTTTGTTTTTTGTTTTTTAGTTTGCTGTCAAAAAGTACAAGTTCAATATTCCAAACTGTAAAACTTCTTTTGACAGGTCTCCTGACAGTAAAAAAATATTCAAACTGAACAAATACATTATCCTTCGAGTATATAATATCATTATTCAATGGAAGACTCCACCAAAAATTAAAACTAGACCCGGAAGAATCAGACAAGTGCCATCTGTAACCATAACATCCACCAAACACATTTAACAGCATATTCGATACAAGAGCACATAAATAAAATGCATGCACATTAACTACTCAACATGATACATAAAACATTGAGGATTAATCAATACAGCTATTCAAGCTATGACATCATAATTCCACAGAAAAACATAAATTTTTATTGCTTTAAATATTGACAATGATTATGTAAATCAGGATCCACATTATTTCAACTTCAGCTCAAGTGAGTTTGTTCAAATCATTATGTACACCGTGACAACGCTGCCAGTTGGTGTGTTATGCCATATGTCACTATGTTAATCAGACAAAGTGTTAAACAAAAATAAATATAGTTCACATATATTTGTAAATGTTAATGAAATTATCTCAGAATTCAAAAGCAGCACAAAGATGAAGAAATTCCTTGCATATTTGAGCAGATCAGAAAAGAACATAAGGCTCACCTGCGAAGGGAAGCCATGAATTAAAACAATAGGAGGATTATCAACGCTTCCACTTTCAATGCAAAACCATCTATTGGAAAATATATAGAGCATTTTTCAATCGGTGAACCCTGGAAATATGCCATCCTCAATTTCTGCATGATATGGGGACCTAAGCCCATGACAGGATTCAAGCATGTTCAAGTCCTCCATTACAAACCAGTGATGTTCTAAATACTCCCAAATTTACCTGAAATTATCATCTGAGGTCTGAGAACCACCACCCATTGCAAGACCAAAAATTGGATCTTTTGCCTTCTTGCCAGCACCAAAAACAGGATGAGCTTTCACCTGAAAAGCTTATAACCACCAAAGAATTCTTAGATAATGATATATGATCTCGTGACACTTAGTAAAAGAGATTTGCTTCCAACAAGGAGAATATCTACTACACACATAATAGAATTTGCACCTAAAATAAATATATATATATATCCATCAAAATAAAACCCTTTTCTGTTTTTCTATTCATTCCTTTTTTGTGGGACTAAGAGAGAGACTAGATGAAAAACAAGAATTAAAGGTTCAATTTGCTTTTAGGCTCCTTTTTTTTAGCTTAGCAAAAAAGGGCAAGAGAGGCGACAAGTGGCAACCCTCCTCAGGCAAGACCATAGGAGCCCCTACCCGCTGGAAAGCTAGACAGGGGGCCTAGATGGGTCTGCAAACATGGGGGATCCAAAGGCGCTCCCTCAAGATAGGCTGAGCCATAGCATGAGCCCAACCCCACCGAGAGCATAGTAGCAAGGAGTCAATGGCAAAAGATCAGTGGACATAGTGAAAGGGTATAGTTTGCTTTCAGCTAGTAGTTGAAAAAGATTGATATTGTTGATCGCATTGGATCAATCTTAAGAATTTCAAAGAATAACAATGTTCCAATCTCATTCTCACCTATGGTAAGAACACGTTCTACTAGTATCTAGTACCCAAAGTCATTAAAATTTCAATGCATTTCTCTTGGTATACACACCATTCAAATTGAAGGAGACTAGTTCGGTGAAAGAATAAATTAGAACTTTGAACCAATTATGCTTTCATAATATATATAGGGCTTTTGCCTTGCTAGTTCACAAAAAATGTATCAAATAACTTCACATTTTTTCTTTTCATGTGTGTCGCAAGTTCGCAGCTCCATTTTCGATGATGCATTAGTGCCTCTAATTTTTATGAGGAGAAATAGAAACCATTTTCACATTTGTTTGCAGTTATCTTTTGTGGATTTCATACTGTGAAAAACTGTTCAAATTAAAGAAGTAAATTACTCAGGTCAGAGACCACATGTCATTGGCATGAATATGCATGTATCCTAGGAGTATCTAGAACCCAAAGTTGTTAAAATTTCAATGCATTTCTCTTGGGATACACACCATTCAAAATTGAAAGAGGCTAGATTGGTGAGGGAAGAAATTAAAACTTTGACCCGAATATGTTTTCATAACTTGTCATATGGGGCTTTTGCCTTACTAGTTCACAAATAGTGTACCAAAACAAGGCAAAACCAAGCAGAATGCACTCATTGCAGTCTATGAATTACGATTACAATAAATATTATATGAAAAGAAAAATGTAATGTCATCAAGTTTTGAACAATTTAAGATGATTTTTTTAAAAGTTCTTCTCTTTTTCTTTTTTGTTCACACAACAATGACCTACGTATAAACAATTTAAGATGATTTTTTTAAGGAGGAAATCCAAGCTAGTTAAAGAGTAAAAATTTTGTCCTAAAAATTCAAAGTGGGAGTAGAAAAGGGGCAAACAAGACTTACAATCTTTCCTCTGCTGACCCATTCATCTGCTGGATTCGGCCCGTCGGCCCATCCAAGTACTTCCCTGTCCAAAACCAAATATAACTTCAATCATACTGAAATCACTACTAAATATCATTTCCCTTTGGCTTTCTTTAGAAATAGACAATTCACAAGTCTGTCTAGCCTCCACTGAAAGAAAATCCATCCCCAATTGAAACAGGAGCATCCAGCAAATAATCCGAATATTGATCATACCAATAATAACACTAAAAAATTCACACCACAAAAAGGGCACGCATTGAAAATAACACAACATGAGAGAGCTACAATCACGTTTAAAAGCAAACCTCGTCGTCATTGATGCTGGATCGACAGGTGAGACCGAAAGATTTCCTCTTTGGGGAAGTCCAAGCTGCTGATTTCAGTGACCCGTTGAGAAGTGACAATGGGGATGCAATAGAGGGGTGAGGAAGGAAAAGAAAATTGTGGGATTGATGCGAAGAAGGAGAAGAAGAAGAGAAATGAAAGGCCATGGTGAAGAGCTAAGAATGGAGCGAGAGGGAAGAGAGGAAGGGGGTTCCAAGTGGAGTGACAGTTAAAACGGTTATTGTCATGCATTGTATAGAGATTGGAGGAATTGGATTGGATATATGGGGTTTTAAATAGGGATAGGGTTTCTCTGGTTCTCATACCTCCCAATTTACTACATATTTTATTCCTCTGGGTCGGCTCTTGCTAGTATTTTAATTTTTAATTTAGGCACGGTTTGGCGAGAGATTTTTTTTTTTAAAAAAAAAAGTGAAACAGACAAATAAAAAGTTCAAAAAAAAAAAAAATAAAAAAAATTCAACAAATTTCACCATATTAGCAAAATGTCACATAATACACATTAATTAATCATTTTTCTATTATAACTATCCATTCAATTAAAAATATTATTCGAAACGCACATTTTTCATCTCATAATACAGTCAAAAAAAATTTAAAAATTACTAAAAACAAGTCAAGTTTCAAAAAAGGCACTTATTAGAGGTCATTTGAAAATTGACTATTTTAACTTTTTTTTCTTTTTTTTCCCTTACAAGAAAATGTAGAGAAAATCAAAAGAATAATTTAACTACTTGTAATGATTTTTTAACTTTTTAATTAAAAACCTATGTTCCCAATCATCCACAAATCAAAAAATGCACGAATTATTTTAATTGGAAAAAAAAGAAAGAAAAGGAAGATAAGTACTCATGTCATAAATTTATTTTTTACACTTAAAAGCCTACCATTCCCAGTGTTAAACTATTAAGCTCGCGAACGACACATCTGGATGGTTTTAATAGCCCGTTTGGATTAAGTGATTTGGAGAAGAAAAAAAGAAAAAGAAAAAAAAACATTTATCTTGATTTATGTCACTCGTTTGGATAAGTAAAGAAAAGAAAAACATAGTGAAATGGGAAGGAATTGATTGAGAGAAACCTATTTCTTTTCTAATCAGTGGCGGAATCAAAAAATTACTTTGAAAGGGGCATTAATTAATCACAATCTTAAAAAAAAAAAAAATTAAAAAAAAGTCTTGTAATTGACAACAACAATATAATACAATTTTTTTGAGTTTACGCACAAAACATAATTATTCATTACAAAATAAAAATACTTTTCAAAAATAAGAAATGAAAAATTACAATCTAGGTAGTTTGTCTAGTGTCATTTTGGTTACAATAACTCTAAAAGGAGAAATTATTCAATCTTTACGGAATACTAAACTAATCATCATTTAATATGCTCTTCATGTTTCTCAATCACCCAACACAATACCCCACCTACTCATCTTCTCCACGAATCACAATGTTATGAAATATCACATATTTATACTCCAAGATTACTAAATAATTACCCATCTAAAAGCATCAATTGAACACTTAGAATTTCACATTGTGTTAATTTAGTAAAATTGACAGTGCTACTTTAAAAATTGAATTGAAATCAAGAGTATAATGGTTCATTCCAAAGTGTATGTCAACCTCTCAATCACTATGAGGAGAGTATATTTTTATCAAATTTCCCCGTTCAAAAAAAAAAAAAAGAAAGAAAAAGAAAAGAGCTATTTTTTCCTTAATTTTCTTTCAATTTATTAATGAATGTTACTAATTGAATTAAATTAACATAATGTAAAAAACAATAATAATAAAGTCCAAAACTAATATAACAATAACCATACAATAAGTTTATGGTCCCAGATTAATCCACCCAGAAAATTCTTGGTAGGTGATTGTATGGTAGAGATTAATTTGTGTAGTATGGATCCATATGTAGAATAACTTTGAACCACGATTTTGGATAATTTTTGGATTGATAAGGGCAAATTGATATAACAAACAACATACATGGACCACATGTATAATTTGCCACAATAAAAAAATTAAGAAAGGGCTTCAAAAAAAATTAAATGAACAATGATATAAGAGAAAAATTAACTTTGCAAGGTGAGGAAAAAAATAAAGAGATGAGAGAGATGAGAGGAAGAGTTATTTATGTATTCAGAGTTAATAATAATAAAGTCCAAAACTAATATAACAATAACTATACAATAAGTTTATGGTGCCAGATTAATCCACCGAGAAAATTCTTGGTAGGTGATTATATGGTAGAGATTAATTTGTGTAGTATGGGTCTATATGTAGAATAACTTTGAACCACGATTTTGGATAATTTTTGGATTGATAAGGGCAAATTGATATAACAAACAACATACATGGACCACATGTATAATTTGCCACAATAAAAAAATTAAGAAAGGGCTTCAAAAAAAATTAAATGAACAATGATATAAGAGAAAAATTAACTTTGCAAGGTGAGGAAAAAAATAAAGAGATGAGAGAGATGACAGGAAGAGTTATTTATGTATTCAGAGTTTTTATGCGATTTATAAAAGTAAATAATAAATAAATAAGAAGGTTTTTTTAAAAAATATTTTTTAAAGAATCTTAAATGATTTAGAGTGGACACAATTATAATTTTTGAAGGGTTGAACAAATAATACTCCCCTTTGCAAATATATAGATACTATTGTAAATTATAAGAATTGAGCACATGTCCCTCTTGATCCCCTTTTACATTGGCCCTTGCTCATAACCCCTTTTTTGAATCTCTCCTGGGGAGAGTAGGAGAGAAAAAAAATCCAACTAAATAATAGTTTGTTATTATACTAAAACTATCATTTTAAGTATAGAAGAAATAAAAAGGAAAAAAAAACTAAGGTAAACTATTGATAGATCTTAATAGTTGGATTTAATTCCAATCAAATAAGTCTTAGTAAAATTTCTAAAACTAATTTTTTGTATATGTCCATAAAAATTGACAATTAGTGACTTTTTTTATCACGATTTTTATAAATTATCGCTAAAACTTACAATTAGTGACATTTTTCTGTAACGAATTTTTCAAACTATCGTTAAAAGTTAAAAATTAGTGACATTTTTTTGTGACTATTTTTTAAACTGTCGCTAAAATTTGTAATTAATAACATTTTTTATGACAAAATTTTCAAACTATCGCTAAAAATTAACAATTAATGACATTTTTTAATAGTGTTTAATGAAAAACACCATTAATTCTCACAAGACTTATTGGATAATAAGTTCACCTATTATGACTTACACGTAAGTCTCCCAAAAACCTAACACCTATATATGGTTAATTTGGTAATAAAACACTATCATTTATTTTATTTTTCTTTGATGTAGTTTAACTAAATCAGACAGGAGAGAAATTAATATATTTTCTTTTCTTTTCTTTCTTATTTACCCAAACAAGAGGGAGATAAATTACAATCTTTTTCTTCTCACTACGCCAAAATTGGGCTTTAGCGGCGGTTTTTTACCGCCGTTAAAGCCTTTAACGGTGATATTAACGGCGGTTTTGTTACCGTCGTTTATGCGCGTGTCGGAAAAAGTACAACCGTCGTAAAAAGGTAAATTACCGTCGTTAAAAGTCGACCAAAAACGGCGGTTTTTTACCGCCGTAAATAGGTTCAAATTTTTCAAAAAATAATTCTTTCTTCTTGCACTACCTAAGTCTTGAACCCTCAACCTCTCATCCACCCACACTAACCACTCTACCATAGCCACTCTTCATGAAATATATTCCCTTAATAAATATTTAAACATTACTTTTACTTTATTGTAGATGGTTTCGTCGGAGCACGCCGGAGTTTCGCCGGCAAAGACCGTCGTCATTAACGGTGGTAATGATTGGGCATTAGCGGCGGTTTTGTTACCGCTGTTAAAAGTGGGCATTAACGGCAGTTTTTTTAACGGCGGTAACAAAACCGCCGTTAATGATACCTTTGACGACGGTTTTCGTTACCACCGTTAATAGTACCTTTAACGACGATTTTTGTTACCGCCGTTAAAAAAACCGCCGTTAATGCCCTGTTTTGGCATAATGTCTTTTATTTTCTCTCTAAATTTACGTAATTATTTCTTTTATTTTCTCTCGTTAAGTTTCCAAACTAGGTGTAAATTTACCTCAAAATGTTGGTTGGGCACTCTATTTCTTAGGGTGCTCCAAGTCCAAATTAACATTTGTTTTTTTTTTGTCTTTGAATGCCCCAAGCCGCACTCATGGTCTTAGACCAAAATTTAAATAAGGTATTCACAAATTTTTATATTGTTAGATTTTTATAATTGATAATCCCGTTTAGGAAAATTCTTTTCAATTGTAATTTTTTTCACTTTTATGTTTCAGTGAGGATGTAAGTATTTAAACGCGAATCCAACCCAAATTGTACCTATGCAGAGGAGTTTGTGATATTTAGGCTTTCATGTTTGTCATTTCGCTGATTATGTACGGGGATTGAGCTGCCAGCGAATAAAAGGATCATCTATTATTTTTGCAGAGCATCTGAACTTCTGAGAAACAAGTTTTACCTCTTGAGCGGTGAAAGTTGCACTCGACCGGTCAGCATATATGTTTCACACCGCCTTTAGTCACACCGCTCGATCGGTGAAATGTGCATTCGAGCAGTCTTCGCGATTCAATTTACTATAAAGTGCGCATTTTGTTGTTTTTAGGG